TGGCTGCACAATTCAATTCCTTTGTCTGGGATCCAATGGACCCATGACAGAGGTGTTTCTGTTAAGATCAAAATAAAATATTGTTTGATATTATGGTTGATCGATAGTAGACCCCAATTTGGAATGGCAAAGCATGTTGTATACCCTTTTTACATCCACAGAAGTCTCTAGAAGTGGTGACAAGTCAATGCCATTCTCTGCTGGAAAAGGAATTTCTGCTCTATTATGGATGAGCATCCTGGCTCCTTGTGTTCTTGTCACAGAAGACAGATAGTCATCTCTTTCTATGTTCAGGGTGAGCTTCAATCCATACTGAGAAAAAGGTCAAAGATATAATTTTCAAAATAAAAAAGCTGGTCATATTTGATTAAAGCCCAGAAAATTAGAAGTACCCTGTGTCCAAACTTGGTTGTTCTGTAGACCTTGTCTTCACCTCCAGTTGCCACAGCCAATAAGGGACTATTGAATGTGAAGCAGTTCCCATACTCCTGGTTCTGCCATTTGTAGAAGTCCCTATGTGCACATATGGACACATTCCTGACATTAGATTGTGAGCTGAAAATGTACTTCCTGCATCAGAAACTGACTTATAAGAGCATGGGACACCATCAAAGGAGCAGGAAACAATAAAGTCTTGACCCCTGACTCCAAATTTCTTGATTTCCTCCACAGTTGGGGCCAGAATAGAACTGGCCTCTGTGAGTTCCCCAGCAGTCTTGGTCCTCATCATGATTTTCTCCACATTCCCATCATAGACTCCATCAAATGCTGAACCACAAAAATGCATCCATCAGAGTCTATATCTACACACTTCATTGGAAAGTTATTTCCACCATACACTACTCACGGCTTAGTCTATAACATTGTTCTCCATTATTGTCATTAGCATCAGTTTCACTGCTGCTTGAGTTAGAGAATATGATGGAACCAGTTAAGATGTCAGTTTGGTGGCAGATGACATAGCAGCCACATGACTTGTCATACTTCAGTCCTGTTAAGATAATATAAATAAAAGAAGGAAAATATAAATAAGATTTTGAATGCAGTCAATATTTGAACAGCATTGGTACAAACCATGACAATCCCATTCATCACTGCCATCTGTGCAATCTTCAAAGCCATCACAGCGCAAAGAGCTCTGATAACACATCTCATTGTCACAGGCCTTCAGGTTCTCTGAAGAGTCACACTCTGAAAGTTTTGAGGAAGAACATATAAGTCCAGTATAAACTCACTGTAATTTAAATATATAGGCTTTATTATTATTGGTACCTTAAACAATTCGTTAGTAGGAAATTCCTCATTTGAGACTCAGAAAGCATGAAAACAATTTCAGAAAATTGAGCATGTCTGTTAATGAGATTTGTTCCATTGTGAATATTATGTATATACATGGTTCTTCACAGATGTTTCCAAATTACAGTTCAGTAATTTATTCTTATGCCTTTATCAATTTCAGAAAAATAAATGTACAGTATTTTGAATGATAAGCTCATAATAATGGAGATTTCACTCAACCTTCATTTGTTTGCCAATTTCTTACAACTCTAAATGAAATATTTCCAAATCAAAGAAATTCATGTACTGTACATGCAGTTATGGAGAATAGTATTTTTTTAAGGACTCTTCATAATGTTTAATGATGCACTCACTTGGTTTTCCAGTGTCAACATCACAGTACAGTGACTCATCACTGTCATCATCAGGCCCACATTCTTCTGAACCATCACAAATTCTGTTCAGAGGGAAGCAAAGTACATTGAGGGGTACTCCTTGGGATTCCAAATAAGATGTCAAGCAAGGCCTGTTTGAAGCTGGGTCATAGAACGACTTCCCACAAATGTCTGGAAAGAGAAAACCATTACTTTAAGAATGAAAATATATCAGGATATGCTCTCATCATATCATCAGGGAATGTATTTTGTCCTTCACTCATACACAAAGTGAACTTCGAATGGAATTTTCTAATCTATTTTTCCATTATTGTCACTCATCATCATTCAATCTAATCAATGGCTTCATAAGCTGTGTATCTTTGATTTATCAAAGGTTTTTCAGGTACTGCATGTCTCCATTATTATTAGTACCAATTTCTACAATAGTCGCTTTAAATCAGTCACCTGCTAAGGCTGTGTCATTCATGGCAATGAATGTTTCTCCGTTGCAAAGAAACACGTCTTCAGGATGTGGAAGCATGACTGAATCAGTCCAATTGTATCCTGTTTCTTCTTGCCACAGATATTTCAGGAATGTGTCCACTGGTTCAGGAAATCTGCCCCTTCCCAACTTTTGAATGAGTTGACAGGGGTTTGTTTTCCTGGGCTTCTTTTTATCCTCTGGAAAAGAAGTAATGCAAATTTTTAAAAGATAAAACTACTGTTTACACTTATCCTCAGAGATATTCTTTAAATGGCAACAATTTTTAATCAAAATGAGTGGGGTTACTGTATTTACTCGATTACCAGGTGCACTTTTTTTCTCAAATTTCAGAAGAAAAAAGGGGTGCGCGTCATAAGTGGGTACAAATTTTTGAAGAATTTTTAGAAAGTTCTATGTGCATTATACTTAATCGTAATGGAGAAATTTGGAAAAAAGTGACAAGAAAACTTTTTTGTACTGAAAAAGTTGAAAATTGGTCAGATTTTTGTTGAATTCATGTCTAAAGTCAAACTTTTTGTTTCTATTTTCTATTTTGCAAATGATGCAAAGTATAATGTTGCCAGCAGAACACGTATGTATATGTCAGTTTTTTTCATTGTGATGAATATTGCTGTTGATGCTTATTATCAGCTCAAGAATTGAAATTGATAACTGGACATTATTGAAATATAAAATACAAAGTGAGTACCATCAGCATTTCCCTCATTTCCAGGCTGGAAATGAAAATTAGGGATGAAAGGCTTTGAAGAAATGCTCTTAATATGGCTCAATCTTTGTCTTCTGACTTCTGCAACAACTTGGGTCCAAATGTTCTCTTCTGCTGAATATGGCCATTGGGTTCTCACTGGTGCAACCTGAAAAATTGAAGCACAACAGAAGCTCAATAAGTGAATGTCTGTCTATCATCATTTGTGGCATTTTGTTTTCATGCTACTCTTCACTTATGTTTTTTATTTTTGAAAGACTTGCCTTCAGACTTGGAGACTGCCACTTCAAGTAGCTGTTGGTGCAAATCCTGGAAAAATTCATGTCCTTTTGCTTCAAGAAAGTGTCACCACTGTCAACCCTTCTCAGGAGCCTGTCAAACCGCCTTTCCAAGTGCAGCACATCCTCAAGTTGCCTGGGTAATTGTGTCCTGTCTGTTTTCTCCTGGTATAAAAGCCTGGATTTGCTGAGCATGTTGAAGTTGCACACTGTGACTGCTGGGAAGTCTGCCTTGTCCTCATCCATCACATAGACAGAGACAGTCTTTGGGTAAGTCATATAATTGTCCCATGTTTGCATGCTCTGGGCAAACATGCAGTAAACAAAAATGAGCACCAGGGCAATCCAAAAGCCCTTCCTAAGAAAGCCCATTGGGAGGAACCAGTGCGGGAACCTAAATGTGAACATTCAAATTTATCAATCAGTTCCTGGCCTAAAATGAATTTAACATCCTTCTCCAAAAATGTCTTCTCCACCCCTAAGAATCTATTAATCCTACCAAAATGTTTTTTCACCAAAAATTGTGAACCCAAGAAAACCGATCATTCATCAATCAACTTATAAGGCAGTATATAAAGGTGAAAATTCCATAGCATGCCTCATGCCTCTTTTTTCTCTGGTAATATTTTTATCCTAAGTCATCAAACTTTTGTGCAAGATAATGGCTTTTGACTTTCACTGTCTTTTCAGTTTCAAGTTTTACTCTGCTTCAAATTCCATTATTTTGAATTAGTTCAGAGAAGATTTTGTTTCTTGTGGCAGGGATTTTTAAAATTATCTAAACTTCTTTTACAGACACAAAAGTGAAATATATATATATTTCCCTTCAGTCAACAGACCACATCAACAGACATGAGAGCAACAATGAATAGGCTACAATGAGTGTTTGGACACTCCCTGCAGCCTGTATTTATAGAGTTGAATGCATTAAAGGCTCATGACCAGCATGCATGAACAGAAATGGAACTGGGATGGTTGAAAGGTTAAACAACTGGTAACCAGAAATAGTGACAACTTAATTGGTACATGCAATGCAGTTGCTATATGTGACAGTGTGGCAGTGCATCAGGAAATCATGCACAGGAACATTGTTGTTTACATGTTGAGGAAAAAATTGAATAGCACAAGATGACAATATTTTATAAGATGTAAACTTGTCTGGTCAAGCAAATGAATGATGTGTTCATTCAGATCCTCAATATAGCAGTATTCTAATTAAAGTGCACAATTGATGAACATTGACAGTAGGAAGAGCAAAAATCTGCAGAAATGAATACTGGCACCATGATGATACAAATAGGTCCCTTGCAATTTGACCTCTTGCCATTTGACCACCTGCAATTCAACCATCTTGCAATTATTTGGCAGTTGAATTTGCAGGGAAGTTGACTTACAATTCAACCTTGTCACACAATTTGTCCTGCTTTAGCCACTTTTTTCATTTTTGTACAGATATTTGTGAATTAGACCAAGTGTTTCACAATTTGACTGCTTTGAAATGTGACCCTATAGTTTGGCAATGGATTAGGGTCAAATTGTACGGTACCACTGGCATATACTTTTGTCTTGCTTCAAGCTTAGAAGTAACTTGTATTCCTTTTAGAAAGTAATAATGGTTGAATCTTTGATTATGTACTGCCTTGAAATGTACAATTTATGTGATCCTTCATTTATCTTATCAATTAAAAAATGTGAGGTGCTTGAATTAAAAGAGATGCAAGGAAAGTTACCCATGTCCTGAGTATGTAAGCAGGAAATAAGTGCTGGCAACATTGTGGTAGTCCCCATGCTTCTCCATCTTTGTCCTCAACTGCATCACTGTGTCCACAAGAACATCCCATGTCATAGTGCACCTGTCCACATCATGTCCACTGTCTGATGTGTTGAGGAACTGTTGCTCAGGAAAAGAGGAAAAGTCCCCAGAAAAACTTGGTTGCTGTGCATACTTGTTGAAGGGACCATCTTCAAAATGTCCATCACTCATTTCCAGCATATCCATCTTGTGCAAATATTATTGAAATATAATTGACCAAAAGCTCAGTATCACATGAGGAAAACAAAACAAAAAATATGTACAAGAGTATACCTGATGGTTAGGATGGAAAGCAGGTGGTGCAGATGCAATGGAATTGAATCTGGATGGCCTGGGCACTGGGTGTCCAGTGGCAGCAATGTTGCCTGAATAAAAGCTGCTGTTTCTTGCAGTAGCAGAAGTTTTCTCAGCTGCCACAGCATCATTCAACAACTTGGTCAACATTTGTGGCACTTTTCCACTGACAGTGACAGAATTCCTTTTCTTCTCACAGGTACTGGGGAATGAATGGTACTGAGGCAGAGACATTTTCTTCTTGCTTGTTGTTCCAATTGTTCCATAATTCTGAGAATAAAGTTGAAAGTTGAAACATGGGTGATGATTTTATTACAAGTGGTACCCCTCAATTTGACCCCAATCTGTTGCTGGGCTAGGGTCAAATTGTGAGGCAGTCAAATTGCAAGGCAACATAAAATTCAGTGTTATCTGCATTGACTTTGACATTTTTTCATCTCTCTGCAGCAGGTTAAATTGCAGGACATAGATCAAATATATTTTCTATATATTTGGATGCGGGAGTTCTGGTTATTCCTTGTGAACGCTGAAAAGTGGCAAATAAAGTTTTCTGTTCATTCATTCATAGATCAAATTGCAAGTCAACCTCCCAGGAAATTTGACCATCAAATTGCTGGGATGGATTATGAACTGCACAGTACTGTGTCTGTATCCTTATTCTTATTACCAAGTTCCCCACACCACTAGTTAGACCCATGTTGGAGTCAGTGTATGATTCCAGTGAGGAAATTGTCAGATTTTCTTGCTGAATCCTGCTCAGTGGTGTGGCTGGTGTTGCATAACATATTTCTTCAACACCTGCAAAGAAAAAGTACAAGTCAGCCATTAATTTCATGGTATGGCAGCAGAACAATATCATGAAACTCTGAGTTCTGACCTGGCTGAATGTCTGAGGCAGAGTGCTGAAATTTGGGTGGCTGTTCAGTCATCCAGACAGGGTCATGGCTCACCTTCCTGCTGGCTGGAGTAACAATAACTGAAGGAACTGACTTCAACTTATTACCAGAAGACAATCTCTTCAAGTCCCTGGCCCCAGTTCTGATGGTGCTTCTCTTTTGAATCACGCGTATGTTTTTTGAAAGAGATATTTGAGTTGATGACTTTCTTGGACTGAAGCAGGGGGAGGGTTGCACCAGGGCAACAGTGTCCTGAAATTTCTGTTTGCCCCATGCAGGTTCTTGTCCAGCAGATTGCAAATCCCTTTCTGATGAGTAGGTTTCCAAGTGGACTCCCTGCTGGTTGTCAGGCTCCTTGGCGAGGGAGGTGCACTTGAACTTGAATGACTTTTTACTTTTCAACATTCTCAGTTTATGGATCTGAATGTATATAGGAAGAAATTTTTTTGAAAATTAATTTTTTCACCCTGTCATCAGTAATTGAAGTTTATTTCTTTGAATGAATAATTTACATGGGAGGAAATGTATTTAATTAGTGTTTCAGAAATGATAAAAAGGATGATCTGCTGAGGGTGATAAAACTAATATACAGTAGATCAGAAGTGCAGATCTTTGATGCCTGCATTTTGAATGATTTGTCAACGGTTGAAGATATTAAGAAAATATTTTTATGATTTTATGATTCTTGCATTTTTCAAGATATTGCAGGAATTTTCATTGATAATTACAGTACAGGTATTGCAGAACATGCTGCTTTTTTAATCATTCCCAATTAATACTATATATCATATAGCTCTTTAACCAGCAGTCAGCAGCTCATTTGAAAAATTGTGCAAAACATCCCCAATGTACATGATTGGTTGACATTCAGAAAGATTAAGAAAATTATTTTATGGTTGGCAGGATCCAGCTCTTTCCCTCTTTCACCCCAATTTATAGCTTGAAAAATACAATCAAACACCAATTTAGTGTCACTGTTTGTTTTGTGGCACTAATTAAAAGGTACTGTATGACAGAGAGGTGCAGTTCAGGGTTTTCCATTATAATGAAAATAAACTTGCTACAGAATTTTTGGGTCTATCAGAGTCTTTTTTTTTTTAAGAGAAGAAGTCCAAATAAATAATCTTTGAAGCTCGAAGGTGCTTTTTTATATTTTATTTCAGAATATGTTTGAAGGCAGAATGTATTTGGTTTTTAAATTAATGATGTCTAGTAAAAAAAAAAAGCATTGCTGTTTCTTTAGATTTTGTGTGCATTTGAGTTAGTTTTATATATGGTTCCATATATGATGAAGGAATTGCCAATGTTTCTAAAAGGCGTCCACTTTTTTCTATTTTCAAGCAAGGAACGAGGGTAACATGCCACAAGATATATTTTTCAATAATTTAAATTCAGGCATAGATTTTTCACATATATATCCTGTGTTTCATTTCAGTATATGAGGATGTCATTTTCAGGCAGAAGTCCTATAATCCAATGATAACCTTGGAAAAGTGCCTGGATTACTTCAATTTCTGCCCAATTTTTTCTCCAAAGAGGAAAGATATTTTTTTTGGCACTGCTTGTGAGTTGGCAGTTTTGGCACTAAATTGGGATTATTCTGGAGAACATGATGGAGGGAGATTTGTCCCAGGGAAATTTGTGGCACTATATCCAAGGGTGGGACTAAATCAAATCCTGACTGTCCTCAAATTTACTCTTCTTGCATTGGTTTTTTTCTTACAGCTCTTTTAAAATAGCACAGAAGCAGAAAATTTGTCAAAATATCTTTAAAAAAAGTATTGATGAACAAAAGATTGATTGATACTAAACATTTGCATTGGGTAGTCATTAAAAATATACTGCAGTATATAATACAGAAATTCTGCCAAATTAAAAAGGAACATATAATGCTGGCTTTATCAATGGAGACAAAGGCATAAACTTGAACAATTTTTTAGTGTGATTGCTATTGCTGTCTTAAGTTTTATTTCTTTGAGGGGATGAATACATTGTTCATTTTGGAGTCATCATGAAATAACGCTGGGAATAATTTTTAAAGGCTTTGTAGAAGTTTATAGTGAATTTCTAGTGAAAGCAGTATACTGTTATTATACACAACACATAATTGAAGGATGAACCCAAAAACCCAAATGGAAATTTTAATGGCCAACATTATATTAAACTGATTCTGAGATACATCACTGATTTTCATTGGGGGGGGGGGGAAATCAGCCACAAGTGATTGTTCAATCCACATGAAATTCAGTAAATTCATTTCACATCATCCCAAACAATTTTATAACACAGCATTTCTCGGTTCGCTCCATCTGGGAAATATAGTTTCCCTGACACTGACTCAAAAACATATGGTGCGGGTCACGCGCCAAAAAACGCACCAGAGAAAACCTGCAACCCGCAGGAAATCGGACAGGAAATATTGTGAGTGTACCGCGTTCTTTCTTGGCCTTCATCCGTAAGTTATGTATGGTTTACTGTGTCTATTTCTTTTGGTTTAAAGTTCGTAACACGTTGGTCGTTAGGACCTTATTACGACTAATATAAGTACCATTCTCATTTGTCTTTATATGGATTGCCAAACACTTCAAGCAAGTTATTTTGTGGCTAAGCTAATTTTCCTTCATCTTGATGGTGTTGAAAAAATTATTTCATGAGAAAGAGGTTTTCTTCAATTAATACTGCATACTGCAAGAAGTAACGATCATATATGTTCTTGGGCGACATTTTCATAGAAGATTTATTCAATTTGCAAGTGTGTCCAAGTGGTGTAATTACTGCAGTATAAATACATTGGTTTAAGGCATCACATCATCAGCACCTTCTTTTCTCATGCCCAGCATTCCACAGCAACTGAAGTGTAAGAGATTCAAAAAGATTTGGGAATCATGAATTCCAATGGAAAGACTCTTTCCAAAATCTTTGAAGACCAAGATAAACTGTTAGCTTTATACAATTTTTCCTCAAGGTTTCTCTCAAACCGCTTGATCATCTAAAACTTATATGATTCAGGTGAACACCTTGAGCTTTAATTAGTGTTCAGTAATTGCCTTATGCTGTAATTTTATCAGCAATATTTTATTTTAGTTATCTGAGGAGTGGGGGGGGAGAGTGCATTTATATCAGTTGTGCTACTCGTGCATTTGTACATTTTCTGATGTTTTTTTTAATACCTCCACAGTACAGTATATACAGCTTATTTCTCTATACTTTACATGTTGATGTGAAGGAATGTGTTGGGTTGGATGAGGGTGGGGAGGGGAGAGGGTTTGAGTCTGGGAATACTGTATTATTTCAACCTTGTGAACAGTTGAAAAGTGGGGAAAAAAGCTTGTTCATCAAGCAATCATTCATGTACTGGGGTGTTGGTTGTATGTTTTAACTCCTAATTAAATGTTAACTCCTAATTAATTGCAAAAATGCCTTTGACCAAAGTGATTGTTGGGTGTATGCGGCATACGTGTAGGATGTCCAGTTTTATTTTGTGGAGCATGTTCTCTTTTGTTTTTGTCATTGGTTTGTGCTTTGTTTCATGCTTTGAAGTGATTGAATGTCTTTGGGGGGAGTTGGGTTGGGTGGGTATGAATATAATCAGCATTATTCCAGGATTGCTGGTTGCACAATGCTTGAAATTTGGTTTTCTTTATCTGTGTCATTTGGTATGTATTGAATGCCTACTTCCGGTTCTTTCTTGCGCCATGTGAGTGTTCTGTTCATTCATTCATTCACCAAAGTGAAAACTGAAGGAATAAGGTTAAAAGATTTAGCTGCTGACTTTTCCATTTTCCCAGGTTATGATTCCAGATATGTACTGTACTGAACTAAAAAATGTCTATAGACAAACTGTCATAAATTATTTCCCTTCAGCAGCTACTAAAAACAAGGTTTGAAGAATTGCAGTTCAACTCAATTGAAAAGTACAATTACTTCTGAATATTTTCAAATCAGCCAGATTATTATTGAGAAAAAGATATGTTTGAATTAACTGAAAATTTCCTTCCAGGTATAGTATTTTGCAACTTTTGTTCACAGCATTTCCAAAAATAAAATTAAGAGCAAGGGATTATCGCTTAACAAAAAACATTTTCCTCTGAAACAAATTCTTGGCTCTTGTTTTTTACAATGAGGGGAAATTCTTTTTGTGGAAGTGGACTTCCGCTTTGACGATCGCCGAGGAATCACGTTTCCGTTTGAGGGGGAACTTTTGTGTGCTGAACAAGCGGAAACAGTCCCGGAAGTGCATGCATTTGCATCCCTGCTGTTGGTAACAAATTTGCGAGAAACATTTCCCAAAAGTAAGCCTTGGAATTCTAAAATGCTCTAATTTAAAAAAATAGTTTCCAGTTTTGGAACCTTGGTACAGCTTTTGGGGCAAGCTTTGAAACGTGTTTAAAGAGGGCCAATTTTATTTTCTGGTTGATGAATATGAGTACAGTACATCCAACAAATCGAAGTAAATAAGATAGAGGAAACCGTTGGTTCCGGTCTATATAAGTGCTGTTTTTATTGGGATACTTTTTTAATTTAATTTTGAATAAAGAAAGAGAAAGACAGAGTCAACAGTTTATTGTCTGAAATTAAGTTCTTTTTTTCAATTTAATGGTAATTTTTTATTTTTCTTGAATGTTTCATTTGTTATTGGTATAGCATCAGTTTTTTAATGCCTCGATCTCTCATATTCCAGCTTACAAAGAACCTTGATCCTTTTTAATGAAAGTCAAAAACTCCAAATTTAGCACCAAAAGTTCCAGAAGCATTAATTGAACTGAAGTATTTTGTAGCATTCTTGCAGTTGAAGGTTTAAAATATTTCCAGGCTCTATAATGAAATTATCCATCACATTTCAAACATATTTATTTCAATAAGAATTTTTTAATAAACTTGAAGCATATTTGACTGCTTAAAGTGCTTTCAATCTGAAAAAAGAAGGTTTTAGGTGATGTTTTGAACCTTTGTTAAGACCTGTTTCCATATCAATGAACCAACAATCTCTCAGAATAATGGAGATATAAAAGTGTCTGCTGTGAACAGATGACTTATGAAAGCTTCATTGTCATGAGTTGAACAGATTTGAGCTTGAGCCAAAGATTTTAAGTTGCATAAATCATCCAAAAAATATTTAAAAGTACTGAAATTCAATGAAGAGACACTTTCTGAAATCTTGAAAGATCGAGATAAACTGTTGGCCTTGAATAATTTCTCATCAAAGATTCTCTCTAAATTGTTCATTCAAATAAACCTCATACAGAAGCAAGCTGAAGACCTTGTGATTTAAATAAACTTTTACTGCTACTTTGTTTTCAATGTCAGGAAATGGGTGGGTGTATGCATACATGTCAGATATCCAGTTTTATTTTGTGGATTGTGTTCTCTTTTATTTTTGTCATCAACTTGAGCTTTGTTTCCTGCTTTGAAGTGATTGAATGTCTTTGAGGGGATGTTGGTTGGGTGGGGAGGGGGTTTGGATGCAGGAGTCTTGGTTGTGCCTTGTGAACGCTGAAAAGCGGCAAATAAAGTATTCTGTTCATTCATTCATTCATCCAAGATACCTGGAGTACCTGTAATGTGCTCTGAATATAGCTGAGATTTTAAAATATAGGCAGGACAAAACATGAGTTGAATATGAGGAATGAATATAAAAAAAGGCTGAAATTTATTGGACAGAAAACAGGTCATATACATTTGTGTACAGTATAAAATATCTATTCCATGTATCAGCAGTCCACTGCAAAAAAAAAATGCACATTCAGAAAGTTGTGTACCCCAAATTTGTGTGTGCTTCAGGAAAAATTCTCTGTTGCTGCTGGTAATTATTGCTGCCAATTGTGAATTTTGCATTGCTGGGCATCACATCTATGGGGTTATCAGCTGCACCTGATGAATATGAGTCTTCTGTGCCATCCTTGATTACAGTTGCATGTTCATCACTGTACTTTTTGGCCTTCAGCTTTTCCTTCACTCTCTTGACCCACAGGTTCAAAAGGTTCATGGCAACTTCAACCCATTCTATGAATGTGATGATGGAGAAGCCAGCAAATAGTCCCCAAATTCCTCCCACATTGGAAACAAACTGTTGAAACTAAAAAGAAAAAAGAAATCATGAAAGACCCTTATCTAAATAGCTTCTAATTGGATTTGTGACTTATTTCTGGGACTTACTGTGAAGGCTTGAGACTCCACAATATACTCATGTGACAAAGTGTTCAAGTAAACATGAGCATGGACAGTTCCAGAGTCCTCTTGACTTTGACCAGGTCTGTATATGATGAGATCAAGCACTCTTGAATTATGAAATGAAAGGGAGTGAAATTTCAGCACTTGCCCTGCACAAAAATCATCAGTGAGGAACACTTTGTTGATGCTGGAAAACATGTAGGTGAAGAGTTTGTTTGTGATGGCTCCTGATGTGGTCTGCTCAAACGCCCACTCACTGTTTTTTTTTTAAATAAATGCATTTTGCATTACTATTTAATTTGTGTGGTGAATTAAGTCTTTTTTGGAAACACTCACTCGCAACTTGGGGCACAGTTGAGGCATCCTTGGCCAGCTTCTTGGCGCACTTGAGCATCTCCAGAGTGGAACAACTCTGTTGTCTGGTCCACACATGTTCCTGACAATAGTTTAGTTGAAGAAATGTTTCGTCAATTTTCCTTGAAAATCTCTAATTTATTTAATTTTACTTTGAGTGCGATTGGAGAGACTGCAGAGTTGGTGGTCATAGCCATGAAAGACTGGATTCAGAGACTTGCTGCAACCACATCTTTTGCGAATGAGACTTTCTCTGCAAACTTCTGTACAGGCCTATACAGTATATAAAAATAAATATATCCTTTGCAACAATCAGTCATTAATTGTTGCACATTGAAAGAACATTTGTAAAGGGGTTTGATGGAAAAGTAAGGTATATACTGTACCACCTTCAAAGAACAATCACAGGAACAAATATCCCCCAGCATTTAATGAAATGAACATTTCAATATGCATTTTATTCAGAAAGTAATGAAGTATATATAAGGTTCTCACCAGTGATGAGTAGCTTGCATTGAATTCTTGTTGCCAGAGGAATTCATTCTCCTGATCACACTTTCCATGAGGAGAAGGCACTCTTTGCAGGTGTTTCTGTGGAAAAACACCAATGAAATATTTGTTTATGTTCTGGATATACATAAGTGAGACCCCAAGATGTGGATGTAATTGGTGTATCAAGAGTGTCCTGATTCCAGAATGTTCCTAAATCAAGTCTCATCTTCCTCTTAGACTTCAATGCTAATGAATTTGATGGGTTCTCCTTTTTATCAGAAATTAGATAGAATAAGTCCTCAAAAAATTTAATAAAATTTGTTTCCCTCAACTTCAAGTTGCAGAAAACAACAGTGCAGAACAAAACCACATAGAATCTGAACTTTTTGTTTCCAAAGTATAGATCAAAAGCAAAGAAACAGAATAAGTCTCGCTATAGAATATGCACAGATGATGGGAAAAAAAACCTTTAAAAAAGAAGCACAGAATCAGCTTGCTTTTGTTTATAAATTAGAATGAATTTATCATGAAGTACATTATTTTTTTATTTTTTATGGATATAAACAGCTTGATTTCTTCAAAAGATATCAAAATAAAAAACTAAATGGTTTCATTTTTTGGGAAAATTTCAGAAAAGTGTTCCTAACTTGAGCCAATGTCTGCTGGATGCCTGATTTTGGTTGTCTATAGTGTCACTAAGTCAAGTTGCATGTATGTCATATGGTGTCCACATATTGGGGTCTCATACTGCAGTCCCAATTTGTGAGTGGCAAAGTATATCACATACCCTTTTAACATCCACAGAAGTCTCTAGAAGTGGTGACAAGTCAATGCCATTTTCTGCAGGAAAAGGAACTTCTGCTCTGTTGTGGATGAGCATCCTGGCTCCTTGTGTTGGGGTCACTGATGACAAATAGTCATCACGTTCTATGTTCAGTGACAGCCTTAGTCCATACTGGGGGGGGGGGGGAAATGGACCAATCCCAGAAAATATTTGAAATGGAAATATATCCAACACTGAATTTTGAAGGTTTTCATAAGTGCAAACATACCCTAGACCCAAACTTGGTGGTGCTGTAGACCTTGTCTTCACCTCCAGTTGCCACAGCCAATAAGGGACTATTGAATGTGAAGCAGTTCCCATACTCCTGGTTCTGCCATTTGTAGAAGTCCCTGTACACATTTGAAAAATTCATCTTGTGAATAATGGGGTTCTTATTAAATTCAGCCAGCAACTCTTCAGGAATGCATTAACCATGGCTGATCCATATATAGAAATCAATTATTGTCACAATAAATTCCAAACCCTGGCTAGAATAATTCTTCAGCAGTTTGCAACCAACAACAATGTTTTATTAAAAACATTGAATTTCTTGCTATTATTGTAAGACTTTATAGCAATTTATCAGGTATTTATGAAGTAAGAGAAGCATGTTGTCTACTTAAAATGATATTCTTTTAAGAACTATATTTTTAGAACTATACTGTATTCCTCTAACTTAGTGTGCCTGGAAGTTGAGATGACCCTGCTTGCATATATAAATACTTGAAGGCAGGAACCCACTTGTAGGAACATGGAACACCATCAAAGGAACAAGAAACAATAAAGTCTTGACCCCTGACTCCAAATTTCCGGATTTCCTCTGGGTTTGGAGCCAACAGAGAACTGGCCTCTGTGAGTTCCCCAGCAGTTTTGGTCCTCATCATGATCTTCTCCACATTCCCATCATAAACTCCATCAAATGCTGCACCATAAAAATATAATAGAAATCATGTGTATAAAGTACCTATTTTTTTTTAGATATTAAAAAAGCAGTAACAAATAAGCAATAAATAATCCCACTGCTGCCTCCAATAACAATTACAGTGTACAGGTGGTACCTTGCAATTTTAACTCCTACAATTTGACTGTCCAGCAACTCAACAGTCAAATTTGCAGTGAGGTTGACTTGCAATTCAACCTCTGCCCCAGAATGTGACCTGCTTTGGCCATTTTTTGCATTTTGTGCTAATATTTCTCAAGTTCACAAAGTGTATCACAATTTGACAACTTTGAAATTTAACCCTAGTCCAGCAATGATTTAGGGTCAAATTGCTTGTGAGGTACCTTTAAGAGGTTCCCTTACCCTACACAGCCCATCATACTCACGACTTATCCTGTAGCACTGTTCTCCATTGTCAATTGATGCAGTTTCTGCTGTGGTTGCATTTGAGGTTGTGATGGAGCCATTTATTGTGGTGTTGTTCTGGCAGATGACATAGCAGCCACAGGACTTGTCATACTTGAGTCCTTCCATATGTAGAAAAATAAAATAAGATGAGGCTATTGTGCAAAAAGATTATACAATAGAATTTAGGGCATGCTCAGCTGTTGGACTGGTACAAACCATGGCAATCCCGTTCATCACTGCCATCTGTGCAGTCTTCAAAGCCATCACAGCGCAAAGAGCTCTGATAACACATCCCATTGTCACAGGCATCCAGGTTTTCCACAGAGTCACACTCTGAAAATGAAGAGCAACATGAAATTTTTATGAAATTACTGCATTAAAGAGTACATTGCTTTTAGACCTATCCAGCAGTTTAAGCTTTATGAAGCAGGCATAAGAGAACAAAGATTTTTTGTTTCATCGCATCATGGCCTTCATGGGATAATAAAAGAGTATACTGTATTTGTTTTTGTGCAAAGTCAATTCTGGGTTGTGTTTTATCAATTGTAGAACTGTAATTTTAAAATGAGTTTTGTCTGAATCATAAATACAAGGAGCAGTCTTTGCTTCACCTCATGTATTTTGCTTATTTGCTGCATTTTTGTTGCCCTATAATCTAATGTTTAAATGATGAGGCAAGCATCCATAAGCATAATCCAAAAGCAGAATCCTTTCTTGCAGGATACAAGCAAATCAAGGCAGGCAATTTGAGACTGGACAAATGGAGACAAAAAATTGGAGACATGGACAATTTGAGACATGGGCAATTTGAGACATGGACAATTTGAGACATGGACAATTTGAGACATGGACAATTTGAGACATGGACAATTTGAGACATGGACAATTTGAGACATGGACAATTTGAGACAGGAACAATTTGATAGTGGGACAATTTTAAACAAAAACTATCTTAATATAAGAGAGGGATCTGCTTATTGTTTTGGTCACAGATTTGAGTTGTTCCTTAATGAGGAAAACTCATTTGACAGTGATGATGGACAAAAAGGAGAACACCCTGGGATCATGAATTCTTCACCAAACAGTGCAATTTTTGTTCATTTGCACTCCTTAAACATAAGATAATAAGGAGAAACGCAGTCAAGTCATCTTGTCTTAAAATATCTCAAATTCTCAAAATGTAGTTGTCTCAATTTGCACATGTCTCAAAAAATTTCAGTCTCAAACTGTCCCTGTCTCCAAAAGTGTATGTCTCAAATTTTCTTTGAATCAAAAAGTTTCTGTCTCAGATTGTCCCAGTCTCAAAAAGTATCTGTCTCAATTTAGCCATGCCTTGAACTGGCCTTGTCTCAAATTGTCCTAAATATCATTTATTGCACATACTACAGCCACTTCTCAAAAGATGCACAATGAACATGAATTCCAATTTCAAAATGAAATTTTATATTCAAATCTGGACACATAAAAAACTGGCTTTACACATCAGTACATTTCTTCATGGAAATTCATCTTTGAACTGTATCTAGTGCATGAATAAAATCTCTACTCTCAAAAATATGTACACAGCATATACAATTTAGATGTAATCTTCACTTTTTTTTTAATCAAACATCTACAAATGGTACAAAACATATACAATACATGCAACAAACTTTTTGAACTCCTTTTTGCCTTTTCACCATTTCCCCAAAGCATGATGCACTCACTTGGTTTCCCAGTTTCAGCATCACAATACAGTGACTCATCACTGTCATCATCAGGTCCACATTCTCCTGAACCATCACAAATTCTGTTCAGGGGGAAGCAAATGACATTCAGTGGAACTCCCTTGGATTCAAAATATGATTTCAAACATGGCCTGTTTGAGGCTGGATCATAAAATGACTTCCCACAAATATCTGTCAAAAAAAAGAAAATACATTTTAATAATTTATATGAAAGAATGTTCCTTGCATAAAATCTTGGATTTCTTTCAGAATGTACCTGCTAGAGCAGAGTCATTCATAGTGACCAGCTTTTCCCCTTGGCATTGGAATACAAGTTCAGGATGTGGAAGCATGACTGAGTCAGTCCAGTTGTAACCTGTGTCTTCTTGCCACTGTTGTTTCAAAACTGGGTCAACAGGCAAAGGAAATTTTCCCGCCTCTAACTGTTGCATCAAATGGCAAGGATTGATTTTCCTTGTCTTCTTCTTGAATTCTGGGTAATGAAAGGAAGCTCAATTGTGATTCACTGCAATGAATGTACTGTAGAATACTTCAAGTGTGTATAAGTTTTACCTGCATCCAACTGATGGATGAAGGAAGTGCTGCTGGAGATGGATGGTTTGGAGGATATGCTGCTGATATGGCTCAACCTTTGTCTCCTAACATCAGCTACCACTTGAGTCCATTCATTTTCTTCTGCTGCATATGGCCATGGTGATTTCACTGGTGCAACCTGAAAANACTGGTGCAACCTGAAAAAGTACAGGATGAGTGACACTCAACTTGAGTATTCCTTCATTATTGATTTCATCTCTCTGATGATGCATTTACAGTGATGAGACCACCACATGCAGACACCTTATGGCATGCAGACAATATTCAACATGGGGATACCCTTATTTTCTAATGAAAAATTCATGAAAAGGCCTGACATTTAGACACCAACTCAACATATGGACATTGTGCAGATAAATTTCAGGCCAAATTACAAGAAACCAATATTTCCAATACTAAACTCTGTGTACAAACAATTTTTTGGAATTCCTCTCATTAACTTAACATCAATATTTAACTTATCTTTTAAAAATTACCTCCTATAGATGGACTTATCCTTCTCTCTTTTTTACTTGAATGTTATTTTTTACAGAGAATGCCAACATTTCAGTGTATACAGCACACACAATAGGCATCAGTATTCAATGCTCCAAATTTCCATATTGTGCTGAAAGATATTGTTTGAGTCAGTTTCAGTTGGGAGAAAATTTTCACTATTTTTTGTTTAATTATGCTGATGAATATTTGTTTTCCATAAAACACCAATTACAAATTATATTGTGTAAGCACAGGTAACATGGGAGTTGACTTATTGGGAATGCTCTTGATGCACCAAGCACATCTGCATTTTGGGCTCTCACTGCATGTCTTTGCTGAAGACTTGCCTTCAAACTTGGAGATTGCCATTGCAAGTAGCTATCAGTACAAATCCTGGAGAAGTCCATGTCTTTCTGGTTCAAGTGCTGATGAGAATCCCCATTATTGTTGCCCTTTCTCAGGAGCCTCTCAAACCTTCTCTCCAAGTGCAGCACATCTTCAAGCTGTTTTGGCAATTGTTTTCTATTTGTTTTCTCCTGGTATAAAAGCCTGGACTTGCTCAGCATGTTGAAGTTGCACACTGTGACTGCTGGGAAGTCTGCCTTGTCCTCATCCACTACATAGACTGACACTGTCTTTGGGTAAGTCAAGTAATTGGCAACTGTCTGCATGCTCTGGGCAAACATGCAATAGAGAAACATAAGGACCAGGCTGATCCAAAAGCCCTTCCTGAGGAAGCCCATTGGAAGGAACCAGTGCTTGAACCTGAATAATGTGGGACATACATATTTATAGTAGCTTTAAAAAGTAAAGGGAATGAGTAGAATTATTTTACCCATGTCCAGAGTAGGTGAGGAGGAAGTATGTACTGGCTACATTGTGATAGCCTCCATGCTTTTCCATCTTTGCTCTTAAATGAGTCATGTTTTCCTGGAATTTGTTCCAGGACATTTGAAATTTGTCAGCATCATCATTGCCATCAGTGTTTGACTCCAGATACTGGGCAGAAAATGCTGAGAAGTCTTGTGAAAATCTTGGTTCCTGCACATATTTCAATCATTATTCTTCTATGATAGGTCAACTATATACATATTTCCATTGTCATTAATAATTTCTGAAAATTAGTAATTTTGATTGATGGAATGATGCACCCGAGTGGGGAAATTGGTGCACACTGGGGATTTGTGTTGTGACCCTGCTGTGCACCTGAAGTGTACCAACGTTCTTCTGTTGCACATGCATATCCCAAATGGGCACCAATTGTGCGTTCACACCAGGATTACTCAGGGTCACATGTGTAAACAAATAAATTACACCAAGATTACAGTTGGTGCATTTTTGTGATGCTCCTGTTATTTCACATTTGTGCACCAAGTGTAACCCTGGAATGGTAGCAAAATTTCCTCTACACAAGTGCACACTTGTACCCCCAGAATATCCCATATGCTCCAGTTGTGACCCTGGTGTGCACCTACTGTGGGGTCACAGCAAAAATAGCTCCCCACTTGGGCAGATAAATAAGTTTTGAGCCAAAACAAAATAGGTGCACACTACGTACCTGAGGATTCTGATAGAAACCAGATGGAGCAGAAATAAAGGAATTGAGTCTTGATGGCCTTGGCCTTGGATTTCCATGGGGCATTAGGTTTTCTGAATAAAAACTGTTGTTGGCATGATTCTCAGCTGCCACAGCATCACTCAGCATTTTAGCCAACATTTGTGGCACCTTCCCAGTGACAGAAACAGAATTCTTTCTCCCACTATGAGCAGGGAATGAATTATTATGTGGCAAAGAACTGTTTCTTCTGCTGGTGGATCCACTGTTTGGCACAGCTAGATTTGAATCACTGTCTGACTCCATTGAGAAAATTGCCAGAGTCTGTTGCTGTGTCCTGTTGAGGGTTGCTGATGGTGGGCAGCTCATTTCCCCAGGCCCTGCATATAGAAAAAACATTACTATTTTCATGTGAAATAGAAAGCATTTATTGAAGTCAAACCTCCCTAAGTCAAATACTGTACCTCCCTAATTCAAAATTTTTTCAAGCCCTTGTCTGAAGAATTCCTGTAAAAGCAATGTATTAGAAAACTCCCTAACTCAAAGTCTTTTTCTCTCAAACCTCCTTTTAAGTCAAATTTTCTGCTGCCTTTTGGCTATTAGAGTGTTATCTTGATGAACAAAAAACAAAACTCTATGTGTTTTGAAAGGAATGGTGACAGACTTATTGGGCAAGAACCCCTACCTTCAAGTTCAGCATGCTTTAAACTCATTTAAGAAGTAATTTCTATAAGGCCCAATATAATATATCACCATTTACATGTTCCTGCAATTCTTTCCTGTTTCCCACAAAAAGATGTTTTTTTCTTTAACTATAAACCTCCTTGAATGAAGACCTCATCCATAAGTCAAAAACTTCCCTGAGTGGATTTTTTTTCCTGGTCCCTTGAAATTTGACTTAGAAAGGTCTAACTGTACCATGATGATGTTCTGATGAGTCCAAACCTGGCTGATTATTGTCCTTGTTGCAACAATGTGTTTCCTCAGCTATCCAAGCAGGATCATGGCTGACTCTCCTTGCTGGGGTGACAAGCACTGATGGAACAGACTTCCTTTCCTCAGCTGAGGACATTCTCCTCAAGTCTCTACCAGCACTAGTAGCAGACTTTGTGTTCACTTTCTGATTGGTCACAAATGTGACAGTACTCAGACCAGGAAGATTTGTTGGAGATGTGGATTTCTTTGAGCCAAAGCAAGATGAATTTTGCACAAGAGAAACAGGGTCCAGAACTTGACACTTGACCCAAGTTTTTTGTTCAGGAGATGGTAGGTCTTTTTCTTTTGAGTAAGTTTCCAGGTGGATTTCCTGATTCTCATCCTCCTGCTGGGTGGCTGAAGTGCACTTGAACTTGGCTGATTTCTTACCCCTGAACATTCTCAATAAGAAGTTTCAAAAGTCCTTCCTATACAAACATAAATATGAAACATGAATTTTGAAATCCATCAGGAGTAAAATATTGAAACACACATTCATCAGGAGGTTTTCACTTTTGTTCATATCACCTCTATATATGCATCATCAATGGAAAAAAAAGTCAACTATAGAGATGCTGCTCAGCAGCAGTGGACTGCTCTGTGTGGAAAACTGAGTTCCAGATGATTGCTGTGTCTGAAAGAAACACATCCTTGGAATTATATGCAAATTTAAAACGGTGACTTGGAATGTGCTTTGCTCACAGGATATTTTCTCAGATATCCCATGAGCATGAGCACCTTCATCCCACTTTTTGATAATTTATGCATATGATAGAATATACAGGAGGGGGGGGCAAAAAGTTCCAGAAATCCTTTCCAAAATAAATAAAGATGAATATATATGATTCATTGAAAGCTTTGAGATTTTTTTTTTCTTCATTTTCAAAACTTCATATGTCCTCGTTGTTGATTATTAAATTCTGGGTTGGTATAGTGCTAATTGGAATTTTTATAAGACTTTATCAAATTACTGTATTTAAGTTTATGCATTCTTGTGTTCCTTGTTTCTTGAATTCAGATTATTTTCACCACATATATTTGAACATCATGCATGTCCTCTCAATTTATGTGAGGACGACCTATTCATTGAAAATTTTTAAACAGGAAATGAAGGTGTGATGGGAATTTTCTGAATGCCCCAAAGCACAATAAGGGAGGAATGGTAATGTTGCTGGTGCGTAATTCAGAAGTCAGAGTTCCTGTCTTTTATTCAAGACACTGAAGATCGTGTGTCCAAAACGTAATTCAACACTTGTTTGCTGTTTTGAGCTTCTGTGCAGCGGTGTCCGTTGGTGCCTGGCACTCGCCACTGTATCACGAATTGGTGATATTGCCATTGAAACCATTATGCTGATATCCACATAGCAATAATTCTGCTGAAAGACTTTTTTTAATTATAGGCATTAAGAGTAATAAGGTGAGCATATTTGCATCAGTTTTTCTTTTGCTTTATGTATGTGCAGGCATACTTGTATGCTGCAGGTTGCATTTATTTGATAGGATACATATAATATACTGCTGTACCTGTATATATATGCAGTCCAACCTCTATTCAAGTCAAACTTATAGTTGGGAGTTGAAATATTACGCAACAAATTTTACAAGGGAAAGCAGTATGTTGTGCTGCATGGTGAAAAAAAAAAAGAATTCTGCAAGAGAGTAAAAATGAGGGTTTTATACGTGGGTATTATAAAAACTGTTGGATTTGACAGAAAGGATATGCTGAAAATTCAGAGGCAAGCAAAACATACAAGGGTGGGC